GTGCCCCACCCTCCCTATTGACCAGTTCCTGCCCTGAATGACTTTTTTTTCTTTCCTCGAATGAAAAAATGTCCTCAAAAGGAAATGTTTTGCCAATGGAGAAGAGGTGAGACAAAAAATGGCAGGAGCATTAAGAGGACTTAAATGGACAAGTTCAAAAACTGTTTTGAGGCCAGGTGCGGTGGCTCAAGCCTGTGATCCCAGCACTTTGGGAGGTCAAGGCGAGAGGATTGCCTGAATCCAGGGGTTCCAAACAAGCCTAGGCAACTTGGTGAGACCTCGTCTCTACAATAAATCAAAAAATTAGCCGGGCGTCATGGTGTGTGCTTGTGGCTCCAGCTACTTGGAAGGCTGAGGCGGAAGGATCGCCTGAGCCCAGCAGGTCGAGGCTGTGGTGGCCATGAGCGTGCCACTGCACTCCAGCCTGGGCAACAGAGTGAGATTCCAACTCAAAAAAAAACAAAAAAAACACAACTGTTTTGAGCAGTTGAAAAAGCATCTTGATAGGTGTATGCATCAAACGACAAGTACTTTGAAGGTATCTGAAGTTTAAACTTGTAAGAATATATACACAATTTTTTATAAACAAATTCCTGGTTTTTTTGAGTCCCCCCTGTATAATTGTAGTAAGCAAGACAGTGTGGTATGAGAACTGACAACTGGATCAGTGGTGCAGAATAGAGGCCATAAATAGATCCACACATGTAGTCAATTGATTATCAACAAAGGTGCCAAGACAATTCAATGGGAAAGGTCAACTCAGATTTATGATTTTATAGTCATATTAATTTTTCACATTTTACATACTAGTTTTTATAGGGTTAGAGAAACAATGTCTCACTCATCTCCTGTAAATAAGCCAGAGCTAACATATCAAGAGCACTCCATCTGTGTAATAGTCTGTTTTGCTTTGCCATAAAGGAATATGTGAGGCTGGGTAATTTATAAAGAAAAGAGGTTTACTTGGCTCACAGTTATGTATGCGTTGGCTTCTGGTGAGACCGCAGGAAGCTTTTACTCCTGGCAGAAGGTGAGGGGAGATGGCATGTCACACGGCGAGAGCAGAAGCCAGGGAAGGAAGTGGTAGTGTCAGGCTCTTTTAAACAACCTGTTCTGCTGTGAATTCATACAGCAAGAATTCACTTATTACCACAAGAATGGCACCAAGCCATTCATGAGGGATCTGCCCCATGACCCAGCCACCTCCTACTAGACCCCACCTCCAACACGGGGAATCACATCTCAGCATGATACTTGGAGAGGACAAATGTCCAAGCTGTATCAGTATATGTCTGTTGAATCTCATTGAATCAGAAACCAAAATGACACTCAGAAAGTTACATACTATATGTGCTAAGATTTGATAAGTATTGTTACCTAAAGGAAGACTTGGGTAATAGTTAAATTCAAAAACACATAAGCTTCTAGGAGCCACTTTTAGATTTTTTGTGGACAAGGATTAAATTTAAATGCATACAATTGTTATGGAAATCTAGGTAGATTGGGTGTTTCCAGATATAGCTTTTCCTTCTAAGATGTTGCTACTTTGGTTCAAATATTTGATGAATATTAGAAGAAGACACAGAGATTCACATCAAACTAAGTTCCCTACAGTTGGAGGGATTCTAGGTGTACACAGTACTGAAGTAATGCTAATTCATTCACTCAATATTTATCATGTTGCTATGAGGTACCAAGCATACACAGTAATGATGAAAAAGAGGTACATAGCTCTTTTATCATGTAGATGCTGCTACTTTTCTCCTGTAGCTATTCAGAGGATATTTTAAGTCTTGGCCGAAATAAATATCTTATTCTAGAATATAAATTAGTGGTGATTGCACACTGTAGATCACCAATCTCATGCTCTTTTTATTTTATATTTGTGTTATCCAACAGAAACATAATGCAAGCTATGTAATTTTATATTTTCTAGTAGCCACATTTAAAAAGTATAAAGAAACAGGTGAGTTAAGTTGGGTCATATACTCTATTTAACATAATATATCCAAAATATTATTTCAATATGTAATTTTTTAATTACTAAAGCTATATTTTTAATATTTTTTCTTTTGTACTAAGTCTTTAAATTTTAGTGTCTATTTTGCACTTACAGCATATCTCAATTTGGACAAGCCACATGTCAAGTGTTCAAAAGCCAAGTGTGGTCAGCTTATTGGACAGTGCAGGCTTATGTGAATCAGCTCCTGCTGAGCTACAATCTATTGAAGTTCAAGCGGACTCCAGATAGAGAACTGATGGTATTTCTGGCCTGTATTGTCAGAGGAAAGTCACTGTGTCCAGGAAAGAACTCCCATCATGCTATTGCTAGAAGTGTCAAGATTTGTGGTCAAGATGAACCTAATTCTGTAATAGCTATACAACTCTCCACCAGTTTTCATCTGAAAGAGTCCCAGAGTTTGTCTATATTTGGAGACAGATCTGCACAGCCTGTATGCAAATATATATCCAAGTGGTCTTTGAGAACTTTAAATGTCTGTAGTATTCATTGACTCCACCAATAATGAAACAGCTTTTCAGGACCCTAAAAAAATACTACTAGACACACTTTCCAGTTAATATTTGTTGAATGAACAGTGAAATGAGCCAGTATTACATATTGGTTCTTTGATTCACAAAAAAATATCTTCAGCTCTAGGTTAATGAGCCCACGTCTTCTATTCAAAATTACTTTGCATTTCAGTAGAATATTTTTTTCTCTTTTCTAAGGTCATGATTTCCATTAGGCTATGATATAAATTCCCTTGTTTTCTTTTTTTTTGAGTTGGAGTCTCACTCTGTCGCCCAGACTGGAGTGCAATGGCCACTCCTGGCCACTGCAGCCTTGACCTGCTGGACTCCGGCGATCCTTCCGCCTCAGCCTTCCAAGTAGCTGGAACTACAGGCGCGCGCTACCACATCCGGCTAATTTTATTGTAGAGATGAGGTCTCACCTGCCCAGGCAGGTCTCGAACCCGTGGGCTCAGGCAATCCCCTCACCTCAGCTTCCCAAAGCACGGGATTACAGGCTGAGCCACCGAGCCCAGCTAAATTCCCTTATTTTCAAGACTATGACTAATTTACTACACCTAGGCACAAAGAGCTGTGTTTTAAATTCTCAGTCTATAGTATCTCATCAAGCCTGAACCTCAACTGGGATTTAGAGATAGTGAGTTGGGACCAGCTTGGACTAAGTCATTGTTTTAACACAAACGTTTATAGACTCATTATGAAATTAGTTTTACATCTTTTACAGTAGGGTTTCTCAGGTGGCTGGTATCACCCATCTCCACTCCAACAGTATCACCTGCTCAGAGGTGATACTGGGCTCCCTGCTGGGCTGGAATCTCTGGGATGTATCTGAGAATTTGCATGTATGATAAACACCAAGGGAGACTTCATTTCACCCTAAAGTTTGACCACTGCCCTGCAGTGAAGTTCCTCTTTAATATAACTGAAGATAAAACTGGTACTACCATTTGAATCTATTTTATTACTGGAGGAAATGCCATTTTTTAGTACTTGCTTATTTTGCTGCCTTTGCTGAACATTTTATTATGTACTGTAAGTAAATTTTGCAGGGTACTCATCACTGGGCTCATAAAACATGCATTGTGCTTTCTTGGTGTGTAAGTTATGAATGATGGATTCAGCTAGAGTCAAATTGTCATGAATGGGCTAATGTCTAAAATCAAATTGACCAGGACCCAGATCATACTCCTTTGTACTTTCCTCAAGTATAGCCTCTGTAATGTCTGCCACATTGTCAGGAAGGTTGTTCACTGTTTCTTATTTGGTTCTATGAAATCATTTTGAGTGTGCTTTAATTCAATCATAATTCTACAGAAATTTATTGAACCACACACACACACTGGGCCTTCTAAAATGAATTGGACTCAGTGACTGCCCTTGAGAAGGTCATAGCCTCTGCCAGGCAGTGAGAAGGAACAGACAGGGAAACCTTGTGTTAAGATAAAATGAGTTTAGAGAGAAGTGGGGCAGAGGTAACCAGCTGACAGGGAGCTGGCTTCACAGAGGTGACCGTGCTCTTCACAGAGGTGAGAGCAAGCCACAGTCGTCCAGAGGAGTAAAGACGTGCCTACAAGGTCACCCAAGACAGAGGAAATAGCAGAACCTGGGTCCCCCCAGATTCAAACTGCACTCATCAAGCTTCCTCCAAGAACCTGGCCTCCAAAGGCACACTGGGCTCCTTTTCCCACACTCTGAGCTCTCTCTGGTAGTAAGATGTTAAGGGTGATACATTTCCTGTTCAGGCCACTAAAAGGCCATTTAATTCGCTCCAGCAATAACTAAATAGGAACTTACCTCAAAAATATATCGAAAGCAACATGCTGCTAATTTATTGCCACATCTATTAAAGGCCCGGAGAGATCTTGACTCCCTGGGTTTTAAATATAGTTGAGATATTATGATGATGTTTTCTGATTTAAGCCCTCCATAAATTAGATGCCGTGATTATAGTACCTGTTGTCACTCCATTCCTGCCCTATCTCCAATTACTCATCTGCCTTCATTAATTCAGAATAAAATACCACAATACATGAATGTAGCACTTGGAGATAGGAGGACTACAGTTTTATAACCTCAATATGAAATCGTCCTTAAAAATACCTAAGCCTTTACTGAAATAGGGAGGGAAAAACCCTGCTCATCTCGCACAAGCCTCCTAATAACCTTCCTGGATAGTAATGGATGAGGAAACTGAGACTGAGAGATTTCAAGTGGCTTGCCCAAGGTCATTCTGCAAGTAGTTACCAGAGCCAAAACACACACCCAGGTCTTCTGGCTCTGAATACAAGGCTCTTTCTAGTACATCCTCTCATCTTCTGGGGATTCTGTTACAACAGCATCTTGACTGTTTGCAGTGAACTGTATTGCCAACATATAAACAAAAACAAAAATCATGGCTCCTCCCATCACTTTGTCATCAGTGTTTTTAGTTTCTCACTTCACAGTCATTATTTGGTGTTCTCTTACAGAAGGCAACAGACTACTGCAACAGAAACTGTCCTTAGATGGGAGCCCCAAACCTATACACGGAACACCAGAGAGGTCAGATGGCCTACAGTGGTCAGCTGAGCAGCCTTGTAACCCAAGCAAGCCTAAGGCAAAAACATCTCCTGTTAAGTCCAATGCCCCTGCAGCTCCTCTTGAAATAAAGCCAGATGAGCTGGCAAAGAAAAGAGGTAAAGTGATTTCTTTTGCACAAATGATTTTACCGTATTTTTGCACACACAGGAAAGTGCCAGCATGACAGAACTTCCCGAAAGACTCTGCTTAGTGAAGGGAGATGCATATGAAATTGCATTTCTTTCTGCGACCCACATAGGTGGAAAGGCAGATGTGATTCCTCCTGTGTAATCAAAGGTCTTGAATATTTCAGTGGGATGATGTCCCCTTTCTCTGCCCCTCTGAGGCCTTTCTTCTTGTGACAGGCATGGATAAGTTTGTACCACCAACACCTTCTACCCTAATATCTTACAAAGCGAGTGCTCACGCATGAGCTCTTTAGAAATGTGAATGCTAGGCCAGGCGCAGTGGCTCAAGCCTGTAATCCCAGCACTTTGGGAGGCTGAGATGAGAGAATTGCCTGAGTCCATGGGTTTGAGACCAACCTGGTCAGTTTGGCAAGACCTCATCTCTACAACAAATCAAAAATTAGCCGGGCGTGGTAGCACGTGCCTGTAGTTCCAGCTACTGGGAAGGCTGAAGCAGAAGGATCGCCAGAGCCCAACAGGTCGACACTGGGGTGGCTGTGAGCATGCCACTGCACTCTGCTGAAAGGGACTCATGTTTCCCTAATGCTCAAGTGCTTGACTTGCATTGAATGAAGATGATTCCGGGGGCTGATATGTCTTCTTCAGATATGGTCTTCCCCGGGTAGATTCAGTTCTGTGCTAGAACTTTCAGACAACGTAACATTTAAAGAAGGTTTTCCATTTGACACGCTGGGTTTTTATGATTTTTTGAGCTTTCATGTACTTGATACATAGTCGGTATTTCAAATGAAAGGGGCTAAATCACTTCCTTTCTGATTCCCAGAAGATTTTGTAATGTTCTTCTCATTCAGCCTACAGTTTCCTTGACTTTGGTTTGACATGCTGTCTCACTTTTCTTGAGGGGGATTTCTTTCCCCTAAGAAGCACACCCTTATTGGGATAAGTCCAATCTGCCTATTTGTGATGCACTATCTGTCGACCCTGGTGACAGTTTCAGGAAGTCAGGCAAGATGGGCACCCTCAGAGCTGTGTTCAGTGCTGCTACCATAATTACAGGCCTGGCTCAGGGCAGTGAGGCCAGTGCCAACGTACCTGGCACCAATGTGCCATCCTCTCTCTAACTCATTTGTACCTCTCCCAAGCTCTGTGTCGTTTTCCTCTTCCAAAAGCCCTGCTGGCTTTCAACCACGCAAAGTGGTGTTTACAGAGAGAGCCAGCAACACAAATGGCCTTTAGGCAGATCAGATTTTCAAGCACTGCAGTTCATGATAGGACATAATGATCAGCGCCTCTTTCCGAAGAGCATGGGAGATAAGTGTGTCCTAGACAGCCCAGCCAGAGACCCCATGGGGGACTTCCTAGCAGTCTCAGGTGCCATACAAGCCACCTACTCTGAGTTATAAATGTCCTCCCAACAGAATTTTTAAAAACAAAAGATGAATCTCTTTTTTTGATGGGCTAGTTGCTTTGTTTTGTTGCTTAGCTTACAAATAAAGGATAAAGGGCTCAAGTTAACAGTTTTTTTCTTGACATCAATTTTAGGCCCAAACATTGAGAAATCAGTGAAGGATTTGCAACGCTGCACTGTTTCTCTAACTAGATATCGCGTCATGATCAAGGAAGAAGTAGATAGTTCCGTGAAGAAGATCAAAGCTGCCTTTGCTGAATTGCACAACTGGTGAGTAACTTGACTTAGGAGCTATAAATCTATAGTGCTTGAACTGTTTAGATAGGTAAAAGCATCAGATGGAAAATGCTGTTTATTTAACACATAAATATCACAGAATAACTCTCCAGCAGATTTTTTTTTAACCCTGCAGGGCAGAAGCGTATCTTTTGGGGATAAAAAAGAAGACAAAGTATTTGAATAAAAAGAAACTTGATAGACATAATTCACTGGAGTTTGAAGTTGGCCCAAAAGTATATGAATGATGTCGAATAAAACCTCGACAAAGAACAGAACCTCAAAAAATAATATTTTTGACAAATCCCTGGAAGGCTAATGTCATGAATGCTACTAAGAAAACAAAATGTTTTCTAGCATTAGAATTATAAAATAAGGAAAATTCCCTTAACACAACGCAGAAGCATCTCACGTAAACTTGGTGATAGAAATCCACTCAGGTATCTTTAAGACTAGAATTAGGAAATGGTGCACTGATATGTTTTTGGTTCTGCTCTGCCCTGCCCTGCAACTGATTTTGATAGAAGACATTTGTTTGAGCCCTGAACATTATCTCATATTCACAATTGAAATGAAATATCTGTTAATAAAGGCTTATTGGTTATTATTAGTAGAATGTTCTCAGTGCATCATTAGGACTCTTTCCATTTCAAGTGACAGAAACTAAGTCACACTAGTTAATGCCAAAAGAGAATTTGTGGACTGATATACATGAAAATTCCAGAAGGTTCCTTCAGGCAAAGTTGGTTCTAAACCCAATTATATTGTCAAGACTCACTTTCTCTTTCTCCCTTTCCTTCCCCTCTTTTCCCTTTCAGTATCTCCCCCAGTCTCCTAGCTTTGCTTATTCTTGGCTTTATTCTTAGGTACCATCTCTCCATGTGGCAGCAAAGAGCTCCCTCTTACATAATCCTTCACCCCCACAATGACCTGAGAGGGCTTTGTCTTCCTGAGGAGGCACAGTCTTCCCACTAGCCAGGCCAAAGTCACATACTTACCAGAGCGATCAGCAGAGTGAGCCCCACCTCAACCCATGGACTGAGAGGTGAAAAGCCCTGGTTCTCCAGGGAAAAATCAAGGTGCTAACACCAAAAGAAAGAGGAGAAGTTCCGGAAAAAGAAAATGCATATCCACAGTGCCCAGATTCATGCAACATGATCTCTATGGTTCATTGGCCTCCCAAGATCCTAGAATTTGATCACATCTCCTGCATATTTTTTCCTATTCCAAGTCCTTGCTTTGTTATAGATGTGAGTTTTAGCAGGAACTGTGGAATTGTGTAAAATTAAGGATTACGTTTAGCTCTATAATCTAAAATTTATGAATTTTAAACCATGTGGTACATATAAGATAAGATCCTAAGGGCACAGAAGACAGCAGGAACTTTAAAGAAAACCCTCCCTTTCAGTCATCATCTAACCCCTCAAAAAGCCCTCTGAATGGAGGAACCATATGCTCCTCTGTCCTCCCACTCAGGGTATCTGGATGTCACTGGAAGTCTTCTCTGTTCGATTAGCTTATAACCTAATTAATTGTTGAGAACAACTGCAAGAATATGTCTGAGTACTTAGAGAAGTTGAAGATGCTATGAAAATGAGAGGTGTGATTATTAGTAGTGATATTTTATAGTTATATGACCTTTTCAGTCTATTCTTAAGTAAGTTACTCTGACACTTGTAAGTACACTCAACTTCCAGGCCTGTTCTCTAGGGCTGGGGTCTATGGACTTTATCTCTGCAGGACCAGCTAATAAATATCTTAAGCATTCTGGCCTTGAGGCCTCCTGGCAGCCATCTGGCTCTGTTGTAGCTGCACAAAGCCAGCCAGAGATAACACAGAAAAGCAGTGGACCAGACTTGGCTATGAGGGCCGGAGTTTGCCAGCCCTGTCTGGAGGCATACGTGAACTGCTTGGAGAAGACCACACTTTCTTACTCTTTTGTGTGGCATCTTAGAGTAAACTCTTCCTCTGAGGCCTCTGGGTGATACCTTCCATCTGAGTGACTCACACACTGATTGACAAAGTGTAGCAATGACCTCACATTACCTCTCTCTCCTCCAGCTGCTCCAAGCACTTCTTATTTTATTTCTTAGTAAAATTAACATCACATGGGTCATGAGACATCTTGAGATTTAGAACAGATTCCTTGAGTGTTTTACTCCTCAGGAGCTGAAAGTGCGAAGCCAAGGACGTTGTGTATTTTTTCTCTGCTTGTGATTCACATTGTGTTTTAAACTGATGGGAAGGCCCGCTTCTGAATGAGCTCTGCCAAGCAGAGCTGCTGTTTAAAAGCCACCTACTTCACAAAATGGCACTTTTCCTGCAAATTGAAGAAGACATTAAGATCCATCACTTTTGATATGCAGTTGCTATCAAATGAGTAAGCACCAGCACTTGTTTTCTGATCTAATCTTTAATAAAAAGGATCCCACAGTAATTGTATAAATGTTAACTTAAAACCAAAGTACTTTTTAAAATCAACAATTTACATGCAAAAAACTTTGCCTTTGTCCCAGACAGCCCAGCAAACACAATGACGTCCTTAAATGAAGCTTTCATCTTGTTTTCTAAGGGGGAGAAAATAATGAATTTTAGAGACTGTAGTGTGTTGGAAAATATTAGGTCACAAAACTGAAGATGGCAGCTTAGAATTTTTTTAAATGAAACTTTCCTAATTGATGGTAAAGTCATGTATTCCAAGCATCAAAGAGAACTTTGAGTGAACTGTGAATTGTATTAAAATGTACTCATTTTAATGCAAGTGCAACCTCAGTAATATATCGCAAGGTATATCTGGATCAGGAGAATGTGGGATAAGTCCTCTGGAGACCCCTGGGAGTGCTCATTCTGAGATGGATGCTAATTCATGGTGCGCGAGCAATATGGACCTACACATTTCATTTCCAGCTCTTTGGCTGTTTTCCTTATTCTGGGCCACTCGTTCCCTCAATCCCAAAGCACTTCATAGGCACTATATTCCTGTTTAGAAACAGGAACTCCCAGATAAGGAATTCTAAAGTGCCATCTTAAGGCCATGAGTCCTACTTGACTAAATTCCCCAGAATATTCTGCTGGAATTCATGAAAACACAAATTTTGAGAGCGTGGGAGAAAGCAGTTGTTGGTACATGCACATCCTGGATACCCAGCCAGCACATGTCAAGGTAGAATGAACTAAATCATGATCTTTCGTTGCTGTGAAGAAGACTTGGTCCAATACAGTTCTTAAAGAAAGGTAGTAAGTGGCTAAAATTTAAAATCAAATTGGCATTTCACCAGGACACAATTACAGAAGGCCACATGACCTTAACACAGATCATTCTCCTGTTCCCAGAAGGAATTTGTGAGGGGAACAAAGATACCACAATGCTCTCACAATATGTCTCAACAGAAAATAAATTTTGCGACGCGAGCATCTGTGTGAAAAGTCACATCAGGAGCTGACACAAAACAGCTGCTTCCTTTTCTATATGATCGGCCTCCTGCCACAACTGGAAAATATTCATCCTTGGGAATCATAGCTGCCAAATTTAATTGTTTTGAATGCAAACTCGTCTAGCTTCTCATCACAAATCTGTGTGTGGTGTGTGTGTGCGTGTATGTGTGTCCAAGTTGATTGTGAAGGCCGAAAATGAGCAGTAAAGCATTAAATTCAAAAAATAATCGAGGAAGGAGAATAATACTTGACTGGTCTGCCATATGCTGGGGAGAAAGTATTCCAAAATAGAGATTCCATCAGGTGCTGTTGTCAGTTGAACATCTAACTGAAAGCACTTCCCGTAAGCCAGTGGGCAGCAGCTGTGCAGGGAGGGGAGGTGCAGGGGTACAGAGGGAAGGGTGGAGGGGTGCAGAGGGCAGAGTGGAGGGGTAGGCTTGTTAGGCTGCTGTGCTTTCAAATAGGAAAGGGAACACCACCAAAGTGCGCATTCTAGAGAAAGGAGCCAGAAATGCTCCTGGCCTTCATGTTTCTTTTTTCCTGAAGCAGTGCCAAGTCAGACCCAAGCAGAGCTTGAAAGTAGGTCAGGAGCTTCTGCTGCCCCCACCCTGCCCCCTTGTCCACTTCCCCTTCCTCTGCCAGCTTTCCCTCATCTTGGAGTTTCCTCCCTCCCACAAATACAGGGTGCACTTCCTGCTTGCCCCCTACAGGCCAGGACTCCCCAGTCAAGACCAGAGCTTACAGTGGTGGTGCCTCTGTGTCCCTTTCCTTTTCTTTTTCTTTTTTTAACAATTGTGGCCAGGCGCAGTAGCTCACGCCTGTAATTCCAGCATTGGGAGGCCAAAGTAGGAGGATTGCTTGAGGTCAGGAGTTCGAGACCTGGGTAGCAAAGTAAGACCTCATCTCTGCAAAAAAATTTTAAAATTAGCCAGGTGTGGTGGCATGCACCTGTAGTTCCATCATTCGGGATGCTGAGGTGGAAGGATCACCTAAGCCCAGGATCATCCGAGCCGTGATTGTGCCACTACACTCCAGCCTGAGCGATGCAAAAACAAAAATAAAAACAGAACCAAGCAAAAATCTAAACTCATTTGCCTTGTGTAACTACTAACTTAATCCTTTTGATGTCCTCCCAAAGTGACATATTTACATGTGAACAAATGCTCTGTTGAGATTCCCCTGACTGACAGAATAAATTATAAAAGTGTGAATTTCAGGGTGAGGAAAAAGTTTGCTGGAGTGCAGTGGCATGATCTTAGCTCACTATAGCTCCCAACTCCTAGGCTCAAGTGATTCTCCCACTTCAGGCTGGTCTTGAACTCCTGGGCTCAAGCAATTCTCCTGCCTCAGCTTCCCCAAATGCTGGGATTCAGGCAAAAGCCAACATACCCTGCCCATATTTACTTCTTTCCATACCAAAGTGTAAGTGTGTGCACTATTATTAACAACACTGAGTACTCTCTGATCATCCCTTGCCAGAGGACCTTTTCCAGAGATAACTGACTACTAGTCTGGAGTGGTCCCAGGAACAGGCTTTAAAACAACAAAAATCGGTGATT